GATTCAGTACTGAGGCAGGTGATGTTAAAGGATTGATATTAGCATTTTCTGCTTGGCTCAGCTTAAGTTTTGCTCTTCATGATAGAGATGTGTTGGGAAAATGCCAGATGTATTTCAAACAAGCTTGGATTTTTATGCAGATGATAAGGTGTACTCTTTAGATTGCAGGAGACTCTGTTAATATATAATCACTAAAGTTACTGTATGGTTTGTTGAAAACTGTGTGAAGCTGCCCAAAAGGCTGAATCTCATGATAAACCTTACTGTAGCAGCATTAAGTCATGTCTCAGTCATCTGCTGAAGTTCCATTTGACACACTTATTTTCCTATCTATTGTCAGTTGAGGCCAAAATGGGAGTTCATGTTTAGAAAATGTGCCCTGTGTGTCAAAAGCCTGACTTTTGACCTGCTTGAAGCCCCAGCTAGTACCTCATACTGACAAGTAGTGGAAAGTGGCTGAGAGAAAAGGGATTCCTCTGCCAGCTTTGACAAGGCTTTGTCATGAAAATTTGAAAAACCAGGGAGCTCCATGGAACATTTCTGTGACCTTGTGCCCAAACTAGGAAATGGATTTTAGAATAAAGTTAGTTAATATTGAAAAATAATCTGGTTGTACCTTAGAGAAACCCTACAAGTGTTTCTTTATGTGAAATGGTACAAATTTTAAAGCAAGTAGACAGCCACCTTACTTATACATAATAAAACTGTTGATGACAAATCTCTCACAACTATATATACATTTTATTATTGCCCCCCGAATCATAATGTATTAGAATGTGTTGTGAGTCTGTAAATCTGTCCAGTTGTGGAAGAGGTTAGCTAATATCTCCACTTGACACTTGTAACCTGTAACTTGTTAAAAATAATTTTGTAATTTTTTTAACTCCATAAAATTATTTTATTAACAAGGTCAACAATATCAGTAAAAATAAAGATTTCCTATCAGTGGAATAATGCATTACTTGTAACATTTCCAGTGTTTCAAGTAGTTAGCTACTTCATTCAGTAGAAAAATTCACATGGTTAAGGAACACAGGATATAGGAAAAGCTAAAATATCTCCCAGTGTGAATCAGTTTAACTGTAAATGAAGTTATTAAAAGGAGCCCTTAGCAAGGTAATGTCTGCTGGGATGTGCATCCTCTCTAACATTAGCAGAGCATCCTAGAATTCAAAACAGCTGTAGCTGTTCAATTTGTAAAGTATTTTCTCATTTTGTTTTTGCCATGGAACAAGTCAGGTTTTAATTTATCTGGTGTAGCTGTAATATATTGAACTTTTTCATGAGCTCTGTCTTATATGCTGGTGTCAAATGAAGCCCGTGGCTAAGCAGTCTGGTAAGGACAACAGCTTTTCCTATCTCATTAAATCCATGCATGTTTGATCTTATTAGAAAAAATGTGCTGACAGCTCTGCATTGGGATTGATCCCTGAGGCTTGAGAATTTCATTATGTGCTCTATTGATTGTTTAATTTTATTTTTTTTAAGAATATAAGAATTCAATTTTAATTAAACATTGAGGGGTCTAGAAGAAGCAACTCCAAATAAGGATTAAAAATTTGCCTTGTAAAAAAGGATACTCTGTGCATCTTCACATCTCTCCTCTTCAAACTTACTAATATGGGAGGAAAGCTGTGGGAGAATGATTTCACTGGGAGAAACACAGGGTGGAGACAGTATAGCTCCAGATTAGTTAAGAGTGCTGTAGTTCAAGCACTCTGATGTAAAAGATGCAGAACAAAACTACTTCTCCATATTAGTACAGTGTACTCCAGTGCTTCTGGGTCTGTGAGTGAGAGGTGACTCCTGGTCCATGAGGTGTCAGTGGTCATGGACAACTGGAAGTTATACTGCTGTATTGCCTCAGTTCTCACTGTATTCACTTAGCTTTATTCATGTGGCTATTCTTTGAAGATGAACTGCTGTGTAGTTCTGAATGTTTTAGGTGTGGGAGGCAGTCCTGTGGAGAAGCAGGAAGAGCTCTGATTTTTGCTGATATGAAATAAAAGCTCCAGTAAATGGTTTCTTGGTGACATTGTTGATATCTGCTCTCCCACTAGATAGGATGAAGAAATGTTTTTAGGGTTGAAGGCTGGCTGGGAGAATTCTGATTTCTGCTTAGGCTCTTGAATTTAAAATAGTATTTGGTAATTTTCATTGTTTATCTGGGATTTAGGTTCCCCAAAGTAAGCTCTTGTTTCCAGGACTATGCTATGCACCATCTCTGCTATAGCATTAACATTTTTAACACAATGTTTGCAGAACATTTATTCCCCTGTGTCATGGTTTAACCCCAGCCAGCAGCCAAGCCCCACGGAGCCTCTCACTCACAGCCCAGCAGTGGGACTGGGGAGGGAATCAGAAAGGTAAAAAACAGATAACTCCTGGGTTGAGATAAACACAGTTTAATAGGAAAAGTAAAAGCTGTGCACATAAGCAAAGCAAAACCAGGAATTCATTCACTACTTCCCACAGGCAGGCAGGTGTTCAGACATCTCCAGAAGAGCCTACCATGTGTCACAGAGACTTGGGAAGACAAACTCCATCACTCCAAATGTCCCCCAGTTCCTTCTTCTTCCCCCACCTTATATACTAAGCATGATGTCAGATGGTCTGGAATATCCTTTGGTCAGTTGGGGTCACCTGTCTCAGCTGTGTCTCTCCTCCCAGTCTTCCATGCACCCTCAACTTCCTTGCCAGCATGGCAGTAGGAAAGGCAGGTCTCTGTGTAAGCCCTGCTCAGCAATAATAAAAACAGCTCCATATTATCAGCCTGTGTTCAGCACAAATCCAGAACACAGCCCCATATGAGCCACTGTAAAGGAAATTAACTCTACCCCAACTGAAACCAGGACACACTGTTAGGAGTACTTGACTTCTGATCCTTGTCTGGGCTGTGGTCTGGATTTTTTTTCCAATTACATAGAATTTCTTGGAGAAAAGCTCACCTACAATGGAGGTTGGGATGAGGGAGAAAAGGACAGGTGTTCACCCTTCAAAGACATTCATACACACTTGCTTGGATGCATTCTGAGTTTGTCTTGGCTTTTCAGTGTTAAGACAAAATGGACTATGGCTTTGTACAAGATAAAGTGTAAAGCAAAGACAAAACATTTGTTCCAAATGCTTTTGGAGAGGGCAGTGTTTTTCCCAGGGACTAAATTTGCACTTAACAGCATGTGTCTCGGGCTGGGTTGTTTTTTGTTTGTTTGTTTGTTGGTTTTCTCTTACTTAGTCATTTTACTGTTTAAAAATGAAAATGTTTGGGGTTGTTTTTTGTTTTTTTTTTTTGGCTTACAAGGTTTTTATTGATTGTCATCATTTATTCTTGTACACACAAGTGACTCATTATACCGTGCAGCCATAGTGAGAGTTTGTAATGATTTGGCAAGAAAGTGCCTCATCAGCACAGCATTACTGAATCTCATTGTAAATATGAGCCTTGTAACCTTCAGTGTAGCTTGGAATTCAAACTGATGTTCTCATGCATATTTGGAAAGTCATGACGGTTAGGTGAAGTCCCTGGTGACTGAAAAAAGGGAAACATCACTTCCATTTTTAAAAATGAAAGTAAGAAAGATCCAGGGGACTACAGACCGGTGAGGCTCACCTCTGTGCCTAGGAAGAGCCTCCTCGAAGATGTGCTAAGGCACATAAGAGACAGAAGGGTAATTCAAGGCAGCCAGCATGGCTTTACTAATGGTGAGTCATGCCTGACCAATCTGGTGGCATTCTATGATAGAGTGACAGCAAGGGTTGACAAGGGAGGACTGACCAATGTCATCTATGTAGACTTCTGTAAGGGCCTTTATTATAGTCTCTCATGACATCCTTGTCCCCAGATTGGAGAGACATGGGTTTTATGGATGGACTCATTCATATTCAGTGGATGTGGAGTTGCTGGATGGATGCAGCCAGGGAGTTGTGGTCAGTGGCTCTGTGTCCAGGTAGAGGCTGGAGGTGAGTGGTGTCCCTCAGGACTCTTATGGGACTGGCACCCTTTAATATTTTCATCCGTGGCATGGGCAGTGGGATCAGTGCACCCTCAGCAAGTTTGCAGGTGACACCACAGCAGGACAGGATGCCATGCAGGGGGCCCTGGACAAACTTGAGGAGTTGGGCCCATGAGCATCTCGTGAAGTTCAAGAAGCTCGAGTGCAAGGTGCTGCACCTGAGTCAGGGCAATCCCAGACATGAGCACAGACTGGGAGAAGAAGTCACTGAGAGCAGCCCTACAGAGAAGGACTTGGGGGTTCCTGTGGATGAGGAGATGGACATGAACACCAACAGTGTGTGCTTGCAGCCCAGAAGGCCCATGGATCACAGAGATGCTCAGAGAGCTGAAGCACCTCTCCCATGAAGAAAGGCTGAGAGAGCTGGACTTGGTCAGCCTGGAGAAGAGGAGGCTTTGGGGAGGCCTTACTGTGGCCTTCCAGTACCTTAGGGTGTTTATAAAAAGGAGGGAGAGATATTTTTTAAATGGATAGGTAGTGCCAGACCAAATATGAGTGGATTTAGATTGAAAGAGGGCAGATTTATATTAGATATTAGGAAGAAATTCTTTATGCAGAGGGTGGTGAAGCACTAGACCAGATTGCCCAGAGAAGTTGTGGCTGCCACATCTTTGGGAGTATTCAGGGCCAGGTTAGATGGGTCTCTGAGCAACCAAGTCTAGTAAATGGCATCCCTGCCCATTGCAGGGGAGTTGGAGCTAGGTGTTCTTTAAGGTCCCTTCCAGCCCTAACCATTCTGTGATTCTGTCACTGCTAAAACTGAAATGCCCTACGCAGTTGTGGGAGGGTTGAGGATGTTTGTTTTCCACTGCACAAAATTGTGGCACTATCATTTGTTCGTTCTTTTTCTTACAGCTCCACCTTAACAAAGATGCATAATTCATTTTGTAACTTAGGAAAAAACCTAGTCTTTCTCAGATTTCTTGTCTCTTGGAATTAGGAACACAGTTGAACTGTGGAACAGTGCTGACTGAGTTCGATTCAGTTAATTTCATAAATATTTGCTCAGCAGTATTTGTCAAATTGCATTAAATCAGGTAGAAAAGCGATCAAATTCCAAATTAAAAAAAAAAATCAAAGCACAGTGTACAGACAATAACTGGATAAGGGATATACTCTTTTCCTCCTGTCTGTATCCCAGCATCTATGGACTCTGCCAAAATTAGGCAAATATGTACCTTAAAAATGTGAAGTCTCCTAAAGTTCATAGCATAATTATTTTATCTTTTTTCTTCACAGGCTGGAGTCTTTAATGCACATTTGAAAAGATTCCATGAGTTTGCTATGCCACAGCTCCCTCAAGTGGTAGAATAATTTTCCATTTGGAATTGCAACTTGATTTCTGTGACACACTTGCATTCTCTTCAAAAGGTTTTGGGGCTTCTTCCAACTTCCTGTTCTATCTGATTTATAATAGAAACATCAGAGTTCAAAGAACAGGAGTCTGAGCAGGGAAGAACTCAGGCTTGCTATACTTGGGTTCCCAGTGAGCTTTGGCTAGAAAATACACTGCAGTATTACCATGGCATCAGTAATTTCAAGTTTCTTCCTCTTGGTACTCTGGAGACAGAGAACTGTTCTTGCCTTATCTTGGCTCTCCTACATGACAAAGCTCTTCTTTCTGTTCACAGCCTCTGTGTTCCTGTAGCAGAACAGATGAGTGGATGCACTGACATTCTTTTTGGTATGATGATGCAGAGGGCTCAACTTAAGTACGTGAAAACTGCATCCTGTTTCTCTGAGTTTGAAACTTCTTGAGTAATAAATTGGTTTCTGTGATCGCCATTATTGAGGTTTTGAAGGACTTCAAAACATAAGACAAGTGTTTAAATACAGCTTAAGGGAATGCTCAGAACATTTACTATGGAGGATGGGTTGGTTCTGTTCCTATAGAAAAAAATGAAGTCTTATCCTCTATTCTGTGGAGCTCTGAGGTCCTACCTAAAGTTTGAACTTGTTTCAGTCATGTAAAAAACAAGTTAGCTGGTGGTGGTCATAGAAACAACAGTGTATAAATTTCCCAGCTGTATCTCTTGTCCCTTCCCTACCCCTGTTCTCAGTTTTCATCATGGAAACAATGATGCTGCAAGTAACCAACTTATGACTTCTTCCCATAGGAATGTGTGTAGCTAGCCTTATCTCTGTCAGGCAGAGGAGTTTTTCTGGAGTAGAATCAGGATGGATGCAATTTCAGACAAAACACGGATTTTGTGCATAAACTTAGAAGACTAACTGTGGAAAAGAAGAACACAACACTTAGAACACACATTCATTTCTGCATTCTACATTTAATTCTCCTTTTCAGTAAGAAGAAGAATACTGTTAGGAATATAAAATTATTTTTTGCATGCAAATTTGCAATAACAATGCACTGAACATTTTTTGATCAAAGGGCTTAATGAAAAGGAATCAAAAGGAAATACTATTGAAACCATGAGATTCTGCATTTTGAAGACCCCCTTTGATTTTCCTTTATGTGTGAGAATATATGGGAGCATGCTTTAATAATGCTACAGCTGCAAGAAAATATAGAGGGATCTGTCTTTAACCTTTGAGAATTCTCAAAATTTGTAGATGTCAGTGTTTTGAAACACTGCAGGTGTCATTGTTTTTGAGCTGCCCCATCTTGATAATCCATCTGTAATATGATGCCAGTGCTAGTATTAGCTAGCACTGTGAGGAGAGGCCAGCAGTGAGACCTCAGGTAAGTCACAACACTGACTTGCTTCTCTGATAGTTGTAAGGAGAAACTTCTGAAAGAGTTGATCTCTTGTATAGCAAGTGAAAAGTTGAGGGTCATGTAGGAACCAGAATGGTGTTTTTAAGAAAATGGTAGGAAACCTAGTGATATATACAAATAAAATAGTGTAAAATAGCAAAAAATGAAGAGAAGACCTTGTGTGAATATACAGAAGATGAATTAATATTGTAACTGCAGGAAAGGTGATGATCTTTTTGTTTGTTTCCAGGTTTAAAAATGTCTGATCTGAAAGATATTGTACACAGAGCCCATTGTATTGAAACACTGCTTTCTGAGAACAATTTGCAAGATGTTGAGGATCATCTTAAAGAACTTGCAGATGTTGATATGACTGTAGAATATCTTCAGGGGACAGAAGTTACCAAGGCTGTATATAGAGTACTCAAGAGCTGCCCTTCAGGAGAGTTGAAAAAGAAAGCAAAGCAGCTATTGTCAAGGTGGAAAACACTTTACAAGAATAACTGTGCTCAGTCAATGCAAGTTAAAAAGTCAGTTTCTGTGGATGTGAAAGAAGAAATTGAGCATCTCAGTACAGTTCCTAGAGAGCAGTTGTCTGAAGGACCATGTCAGCAGGAGGCATTAGATGGTACTAGTTCCAACACTTTGGTCCCATCACAAACTGTTAAAAATGTGGTACATAACAATGCAGAAGGCAGTATTAATCAGCATTCTTCTTTTGAGGAACAGCACACTGTTCATGAAGATTCTAAATCTGTTGTTAGCGAAGCCAGTCTGCAGCAGGATCTGATGAGAGCTCTGAGGTGTAAATGTGTGGATCTTCTTTACAAAGCTTTGATTGATTCTGCCAAAGATGAAGAAGAAACTGTTAAATGGCTAGAGTTAGCTAAAGAAATTGAAGAACATATTTTTGCTCTTCATGCTAAAAATGACAAAAAGTATAAAAATTGCATCAGAAGTAAAATCTCTAACCTTAAGAACCCTAAAAGCTGCCACTTAAAGCATAACCTTTTTTCAGGAACTTTGAGCCCAAAGGCTTTTGCTGAGATGACAGTGATGGAAATGGCCAGTGATGAACTGAAACAGCTCAGGGCTCTGTACACAAAATCATCTGTTCAGGAGCATCAGCTTCCACAGGTGATTAATGGCACACAGACAAACAAAATAAAGTGCAGACGCTGTGAAAAATTTGATTGCACTGTCACTGTGATTGCCAGAGGAGCTCTCTTTCTTCCAGCTTGGGTGCGAAACACAAATCCAGATGAACAAATGTTGACGTACGTTATTTGTAATGGATGTGGAGAACAGTGGTACCACAGCAGATGGATTTGTTTGTAATGCTGTCCCTCTATAATAAAGGGCTTGGAAGCGTGTATAACAACTTACCTCTGTTGAAACTCTGTAATTTTAGATTCTGTGCTGATACTGTGTGGGTGCTGCCTCTAAAAACTGCAAAATCAGTTTTAAAGACCTGCTAATGTATTTTTAAAGATGGCTCGAATAGATCTTACATGTTTTTTAAGTAATGTAAATATGTAAAGAAATAAAGGGTAAAAGGAGAAAAATGGTTACACTGTATCTGAGTGGAATGTTTGCTAGTAAATCCATTAAAATTATTCCAAGTGCTGAGTTTTTTCCTGAACGGACGGGATACTTGGAAATTTTTTCTAACTTGAGGAGGAGTTCTTTCACAGAACATAAGTTTCATTTACAATAAACAAACTGTTTCTAAAACTGCAGTTTACATACTTATGTGCATTGCAGAATGTTCAGCATGGATTCTCTCCTTAATTAAATAACTTTTTGCAAGCAAGTGTTAGATTATTTAGTTGATTTGAGAGGTGATTTCTAGCAGGGAAAAAAGAAACTAAAAGTAGAGCATTAAAGGGGGTAGAAAGCAGCTAGCAAATGAAAGCAAGAATGAGATTCTGCTTTAGTGGTTTTAGCTATTAGAAGGAAAACAGGACTTGTGACAGTCTATCAGTATGCAGGCTGGATTTACAATGTAAGATGGTGAGTCCTGCTACTGCAAAGAAATTAATGCAGGATCAGACAATTATTTCAGAAAATAATGTAAATATATTGTTGGATGTATGTTTATTTAATAAATAAAATTAATAGGAGTGGATATCCTCTCTGGGACTGGGACAGCTGTCCTGAACTGAGAAAATTAATTTCTGTATGGCACACGTTACCCACAACCAACAAATAGAAGGAAATCCAATAGCAGAAGTTTTTATACATATTTTTGTTCCAGAATCAACAGGATTCTCACTCATCGTTCACTAGAAGTATTTATTTTAAAAAAAATCTCACTAAAGTAAGTGACCTGTATCTTTTACAAATACACAACAGGCATTTAGCACTTCAAGGTTAAAATGTATCAGCAGAGCAGAGAAACCTGCTGAGTATTTGCTGGAGGAATTGAGGACAGTTCTGCGCCCATCTGACTGTGACACAGCTGAGGCTGGCCAGCTCCTCTGGGCTGAGCTGCATGACCTCTCAGAGAGAAAGGAGTTGGAGGCATGAGATGAGAAATTAGGTATTGGTGAACTAAATGCCAGCCAGGACTGAAAGGCAGGCCTTTATTTGTGCATGGGGAAATTTATGTGTAACCTGACGTTGCAAAGAGACACCTAAAGTATTCTACTGAAAAAAAAGAAGAAAAATCTTTCTGTTCTGTGAAGGGTTAACAATTGCCTTTCAGCAGCATTAGTTAGATTTTTTAACATGTAAAAACGTCATTTTGGGGAATTGCAATGATGTAAAATACACATTAAAGCTTTAGGCCCGAGCCCCAGTGTTCAGCTGTGTAACCAAGGAGTTACTATGTAGCCTTCCTTCCCACCCCTTGCTTGTGTGCTGGAATTGATGCTTATGAGTAGTCCTGCTTTAGTGGCAGTACTTTTGTGTAAAGTATTATTGTTAGCTTTCAGTGAAAGTACAGGAAAGCAAACAGTCCTGTGTTAGTGGATCACAGCAAGCACAGGATTGTGTGCAGTCATTTTGAAGGTCATGGTCCTGTTGAGGAGAGCTTTATGCCAGCATTGTGCTGTGTCAGAACACCATGTAGCAGAAGACTTTATTTTAGCTCTGAACAACTTATAAATAATTTCTGCCTGCAGTTGGTTTTGAAGCCATTCCAGTAATGTACAGCTCATCCAAGTTTTATCTTGGCAAAGGGAAATATTACAAGGCATGGAGGGTCTGTCTGACAGAATATATTTCAAGGGTAAAATTTGTATCTGTAACACTGACTACATTTGTGACATAACATGTAACATAATTTTCTTTTGAACTGCCCATAACTGTGCAGGCTTAAAATATTTGGCTAGCTAAGATTATATGCTATATTATATGTTTGTCTCAAAATGTCTTTAAAAAGCCAACTTGCAACTACATAGTATGTACAGCAGCAGGAGGGTGTAGATCACTGGAGTACAGGAAGTAGAGTCCAGAAACAAAAGAAAAGCTTTGAAAAATGTGATTCTTTTATATTGTTGAAATCTCTTTTTTTCAGTTGATTCTGGGTGAGAAAAAGATCTCTGAACTTTTTTAAGCACAGACCATTAATTTGGGTATGATGTTTAACATGTCTGTGCTGCAACTCCTACAAGGAATGTGTCTGGAGAGGTGATCCCCACAAACATAGGACAAATATATACTGAACAAGGCTAAAGTCTGTATTTGTCTCCATGGGGTTTTCCAGAAATGCTGTAAATTCAGCTCCTTGAATCCTGCAATTTAACAGCACCAATAAAGTCTTAAACATAAATTGCTCTCAAAGATGAAGCAGCCTGTAGCTGCAGAACTTGTGATACATATCTTAAGAAGATGAGAGCTGAATTAAAAGTGAATTTCACACAATTTTCAGTGTAAAAACAAAGACACTGTTCTATATCTGAAGTGCTCTAATAATTGTAGTTATCGCTAGTCCCTTAACACCAGTAACAAAACTCCTTCTAGTTCCTGGAGATCCCCTGCCAGATCCACTTCCATCTGTTCTGTTGAGTGCCTTTTCTATCTCTGTCATATCTGTCTTACTGTGCACTTTTTAGTACTCAGCTGCCATTTGTTGTTTATAACTCTTTCTTCTTTTCAAAGCCAAAAAGAATTTTTTGCTGTTTATTTTTCATTTAAAATGTATTTCTTTCTGAATGCTGTGCTATCTACATTTGCTATTAAAGCAAAGAACTGCAGCTCTTTAAACAAAAAACAGCTCTTTTTTTTGTGCCAAGAAGGAAAGTTAGTAGCCTGGTAACAGGCTGTGGTTAAGGAGCAAATATTACAGTCCTTCAGGGAATCTTCGGGGTGTAATGGTCCAATTCACTGCCTGCCTGGAAGATAAAGAAAGAAACAAGAGCACTTTGATAATTTCTTGGATTTCTTGGGAGCTAGCTTGCTGCATTCTGGTATTAAGAGAGCCATAAATGACTTCATATCCCCTTAGTTTGTACTGTTGTAATTCAGCCAAGAAGTGACAAAGTAATGTTTTACTGAGGCCATGTCATCACTTGCCAGGATGGGACATAGTCTCCTTGCCAGCTTCAGATAGTAAAAAGTATTATTCACAAGCTCTTATTATAAGAGAGCTTTGCTGATACAGAACTTCCTCCTACTCACAAAACCTTGCCCTTTATTTGCCTTGGATGTTTTTTGTGCTGTTCTCTCTGACAAGGCATATCAACATGAATACACCTCTGAACAAAATCCCTGAAGTGCAAAGTCAGCTTTTAGATGAAGGTGCATGTTAGGGAGCAGCAAGGCTGGGTTGCTGCACTGGGGAGGATGGTGGGTGACAAGATATGCAGGGACAGTGGCTTCAGTTCTAAGGGTCACCCAAACAAGAGCAAGGCAGGTCTGGTGACAATGATCTGCCAAAACTCCAGTGGGAACTGGGCAAGTCTGGGGACGTGCTGTTGGGCAGAGATTGGTGCACAAGGTGGGGTGCGGCCATGGAGCCACCAGGCTCATACAGTGCCTGAGCCAAAATGGGGCTCTTGCTGGCAGTGGGATTCTGAAGCAGCTGCCCCCACCAGCACTGCCCCAGCCCTGCTCCCCCCCACTGGGATGGTCAGACAGGGTCAGCCCCACAGCAGCCTCCATAGGAACCCTGCCTGTCTGCAGAATTTAAACAGGAGTGATTTTGGTGCACTTGTTTCAAAATGCATCCCAACTGGGCATGTTCTTCTGTCTGACCTCAGGACTGGCAGGTGTGCTTCATGTGACCATAATCCTATCAGAGGATTATTTGTTCTACAATTTGTGCTGTTCTGTAGCAACTGTTGGGTTTGTTCCATACATGGTATGTAACAGAGTGGACACAAGGAAAAGGGCCTTCAGTTCCTGATCCTCAAGCGCTCATGCATGTGTATTAACCATGAGAGTAACCCTACAATGCTCCATTGTGCCTATAAAATCATGAGCATAGCAGCCATGGTTACACCATGGTTCTTTTCTATTTTCTTATATATTCCCATGTAAAAGAAATAAAAATACACCCTATTTGAGAAGTTCAAGAATTTTGTTTCTTAATAGAACTTGAAAAAATGAGCTATCTGGACAAGCTGAAGAGCTGGGTTAAAGTGGATCATCATGAGGGTCAGTGAGGCCAAGTACAAGAGGCTGTACAGGGGTCAGGGCAGCCCCTGATGTCAATGCAGGCTGAGAGTTGAATGGATTGACAACAGCCCTGAGGAGAAGGACTTGGGGGTGCTGGTGGATCAAAGGCTGGACATGAGCTGGCAGTGTGAACTTGCAGCCCAAAAAGAATCAAAAGCAGCATGAGCAGCAGGTTGAGGGAAGTGATTCTGCTTCTCTACTTTGTGTTCATGAGATTTCACCTGCAGTCCTGCATCCAGCTCTGGGGTCTCCAGCACAGGAAGGACATGGACCTGTTGGAGCAGGTCCAGAGGAGGCCACCAAGATGATCAGAGGGCTGGAGCACCTCTTCTATGGGGAAAGGATGAGACAGCTAGGGTGGTTCAGCCTGGAGAAGAGAAGACTGTGAAGACCTCATTGAATCCTTCCAGGACCTAAAAAGGGGCTTATGTGAAAGATGGGGACAGACTTTTTAGCAGGGCCTGTTCCAGTAGGATGAGAAAGGAGCATAGATCCAGACTGGACAGACTGACTATATTCAGGCTAGAAATTCATTTTTTTACAGCAAGGGTGATGAAATCTTGTAACAGGTTACCCAAATTGATAGTGGCAGGGCTCTGAGCAATCTGATCTAGCTGAAGATGTCCCTGCTCATTGCAGGGTGATTGGACCAGATGACATTTAAAGGTCACTTCCAAGCCAAACTATCCTGCAATTCTAAATTTCCTCACATGTATCCAATGTACTTCAAAACAAAATCCAGTGTTGTTTCAAAACAAAAACATGGTAGCTTCTCCCCAAAAGATATTAAAATAGAGTAATTATTTCCTCCATTTCTAAATGCAGCTTTTTCTTCTGTATAAATCATAAAATAATGATTTATAACTGATCAGAGCTTATATACCTTAGAATTACCATAATTTAAAGTCCACTTTCCTACTCCTCCAGCACTTGCTTGTCTTTTATTCTAGAATTGG